GGATTCTCTCAATGTCATAAACTGACGCAAGATTATTTGGAGGCCTCCTTGGTCACTCAGATCTCTTTGGATAGAAATCATAGATTTATTATCTGGTTTGCGAGTTGATATCCATCATGTTTACAAGGAGGGTAATAATGTAGCTGATTTCTTAGTGAAACATGAGGTGAATGGTTCTTAGATTATGATTAGTGATTCTCTATTATTGTAATTGTAATGATTTTTATTATTATCAATAAAAGTTTATTATCTTGTCAAAAAAAAAAAGAAAAAAGAAGGATATAAGTGGTCCATATGGTAAACGTCCTGGTCTTTACATCTTCATACATTAAGGAGTCATTCACCAAAAGTAGAAAGGTACGAGTTAAATCTATAGGTTTGACACCCCAACATGGGTTGGCAATGGGCTAGGCGGTCTGGTCCCGCCTAGGTGACCCGGCCCTAAACAAGTACGGTTTGAGACACAAAATGTTGTCGGAGGTCAGGCTAGGGCTAGTGTTGTCCCAACACACTATTTTTCACTTTTTTATTTTTATTTTTGCTTCATTTTTTTATTGCTTTATTTTTTTTTGGGGAAATATCTATGTACACCCTCTTTTTACGTTTGATTTCTCAATAGACTGATATTAAAATATATCTTGCGGCATAGAGATCCCATATATTATATCTTCTAACCCTAGATTAATTTTATCCCATTTTTTAGCCCAAACAAAAGTTTAAAATACATCTTTTTTTCTATTCTTTTTTAAACCCCCTTCTCTCTCTATCTTTTATCTTGTTTCTCGCCAAACCTTTCTTTATTTTTTTTTAATATTAAAAAAAAATATATTTTTTCAAAAGATATTTTCAATATTAAAACAAAAAAATGGAGAGAGGTTTGGGGAGAAACAGGGGAAGAAAGAGAAAATGGGGTTTATAAAGGAATAAAAAAAAAGATGTCTTTTCAACTTTTGTTTGTAAATATGTTGTAAAGTTGGTCTAAAAGGTTAAAAGCTATAATACATGGGATCTCTATGCCGCAAGATATGTTTTGAAACATTCAATCTGGTAAGCAATGAAACTTAAAAATAGGGCGTACAAAGATATTTTTCCTTTGGTTTTTTTTGCCTAGATCCGGCCCCGGCCTTGGCCGAGCATGGCCCTTTTCCACCCTTGAACAACCAACCATTGTACAAAGAAAGCAAGGTATAAATTTTCAAGTGTTTTCCATTCTCGCTTATGAAGTTTCTAGGTTCTCGCTTGTATCAATAGAAACCAACATAAGTAAGGAAATGGAAAAAATTGGAAGGGAGAGTCTAGAAATGCGAATCTTGTGTGGCACTTCCCAAGTTCAGTACGCAAAATAGATAATTCGTCGTAGAGAACCAACAATGGAGATAAGGACTCGGTTTTTCTACAGGCAGGCCGGCAAAAAATATCCACCGTCCAAATTAGTTGCACGATGGAGATTGCATAATACAATTTATTTACTAGACATAGTGCCCAAGCATTTACCATATCAATTTGCAACCAGAACTCACCACCTCCTACTTTAAGAACAATATTTTTTGAGGTTGTGTCTTTCTCATGTCCAGAAATTATAATTAAGGATTAAAATAGGGAATAAAAATATGAGCACGAAGTTCGATGATGGAAGTTAGAATGTTGGAGTGTGGAGAGGAGGTAGAGTACATTGTTGAAGAGGACGCCCTTGCTTCTTGAAAGTAAGACCATCACACCACGTGGAAGAAGTGTAAACTGGGGTTCCATTCTATAAGGGATTTGAAAGGGTGTGATTTAGGGGCGGCAACGGATCAGGTCGGATCTTACAGGTCCAAAATTTGACTCATACCCGGACCAGATCGGGGCGTACCTATCGGGTCCCACGTCTTGTCGGGTTCACTACCACTTGACATATGGGCTATGACTAGGAAGATTATTTGTTTTCTTTTTCTTTTTTATGTCATTTTTTTCCATCATATACCTATATTGACAACATTTACAGTATTGCATGACATTTATAAATACCCACATTCCTTACTATTTTACATAACAACTTAAAGGAATTTTATACAATGAGATCATTTACCTTTAGTACAAGATGATCACAATTAATTACAACCATCTGATGTGAAATTTGATAGCTTAGGTGTATCACAAAGTTCTAGAAAATTTCTTTTGAATTTTGAGCTTGAGCAATGGAATAAATGTAACCACCCAATTTCACATCCAGTGGTCAAGATCAATTGTGACCACCTTGTACCAAAGATAAATGGTCTCATTCTATACTTTTCATAAGAAACAAACGTATCGACAACATTAATGAATACCCACATACACCCATATTATTTGGATTGGGTTAGGGTTCAGGTCCGGGTCCGGCAGGACTCGGACCCAGACCCGAATAATATTCGGGTCCAGGTATTGTATCTGGACTTGAGGTTGGGTCTACCCATCAGGTCTCAGGTCTGATTGGGTGCATTGCCATCCCTAGGGTTTTTATATCCCAAACGTGGCCAAATATAAAAAATTTCATTAAGTTGTTGCTATTTCAACAATTTTAGTTAATTTGTAAGAGATTTTTCACTCCTGTACCTCCTCTCGGATTTCATTAAAAACATATTCAAAAGCAGCCTCGTCGTGAGTTTATAACCCAAAATAAGCATAAACTAAGGGTGGCATTTGGGTCGGGTGCCCTGGTGGGTCAACCCAAACCAGATTTAGGTCCAGGTCTATGTTTTGGACCCAATGGGTTGGGTCCAAATGACCTGGACCTCAAGATGTATGAACATGAGAAAAAATAAATTTTCAGTCTTAAAAATAATACAGCGTGTAATATATTATCTAGAGCATCAATTTTCAAGATTTTCAACTATTCATAAATCTGCTAGATCTATATATTATTTTTAAATTTTAAATTTTATAATTAGAGAAAAAAATAAGTTTTTATGCCATCATAAAGGTTTCTAATACTGAAACAACATATTTCCGTACCATTTGAAGGTGCGCCATACTTTGACTGTTTAGGACGTCGCCCTTATACAGACCACACCCTCTAATGAAAGAGTTACATGAATAACACAACCAATTCATTTTCTAAGGGTAGGGTTCATATAAGGTTGCAACCTTACATTAGATTTTTGCTTTTAGATTTAACAACCTCATTGTGAGAGCTGACTGTTTAATGGCTGAGGTTTGTATAAGGTGCCCCACCTTGTATTATACAAATAAGACACACTTTTAAACATTGTCAGAGATGTAGTTTTGGTATCAAAAACCTTACGATGACATAAAAACCCATATTTAACCTTTATTAAGAAATTTAAAATTAAAAAAACAATGTAAATTTCATGAAATTATAAACACTTTAAAATCTTAAAAATACACATGCTAAATAACAATTTAGAAGATAAACTATTTTTAAGACTTTAAATTCTTTTTTCTTTTTATAACATATATCTCGAGTTCGAGATGCTTAATTGGAAAATTTTCTCACTTTGGATTGCTCTTGTCTACTGAATTTTTGATGTGCACCTTCCTTCTATATTATAAGGTTGTAACCTTATATAAACTTTCTTATTTGATTTTTGCTTTCATTTATTAAAGGGTGCAATTGGCATACAGATGCATCTGTAGTTGTACAAGTAAGGTGTACCTTCAAATTTTATTATGGTATATAATTTTGATGTAAAATGTTCTTAAGGTTATCTCAAAATCTATTTTTATATCTAATTATAAAATTTTAAATTTAAAAAATGGTTAAAATCAATCTATAAACATATGAAAATCTTGAAAATAGACGATGTAGATAATATGTTGTAAAATACACTTTCTGAAAAAAAATCTTTTTATTTTTTATGGTCATACGTATTGATGTCGAGATGATTAATCAAAGGGTTTTTCAACATTAAAACTACCTTTTCTTAAGGTGTATCCATAGTTCTACATTATGAGGTTGCATCCTTATATAAACTTTTTCCTTTATTAAAAGATAAACCAAAGTCATTTTTGTCTTCGCAAAGTCACGTGAGGTGAGAATGATTTGATCAAAAGGGACTTAAATTTAAAGATGGACGTCATCTTTTTCCTTTCCAGGGTAACTCGAAAAGATTGCCGCTTATAATGTTCCCAACGGCCTCTATTTTTGTTGCTGCTTATTGTAGATTCTAAAATAATGAGGGCCTCTACATTAAAAAAAATGAGAACCTATGTTTTTCTATTTAAAACCCAGTATTACGTGATGGAACAGACGCAAATTGTTAATTCCCGACCTAGATTGGTGATACTCAATTAAGACCGATGATTTATCGGAGAATAAAAAACTCGACACAACCAAAAGCGCCCATTCTTTTACACAGATCACCAACTCCATAAACAGGATTTACTCGAGCCACTGACAAGCAGACCAATTCCCTGTTTTGTAAAGAAACAGGCTCAAATCCCAAGCTCAAATACCTACCAAATCAGTGATTCCAAAACCTGAATTGATGGATTTTTTACCAACTAGGCAATCTTCTTTTTATCTAGATTCACGACATGACACTTCCTCATACCGTACCATCAATACAAGTGGGATCATGTTTTTCCCTAACATGGATCGAATGGTGATAACCCCTAAACATATTATCACCACCAGTGTTTTAAAAAACAAATTAGGTGGCCGTGTCTATTAGAGACCAACGATATTCAGCCACTTTGGAAATCAATAGGAAATAGTAATAAAATAATAGATATCCAAGAGGCATTCCCAAGGATCCATTAATCATGGTCACCCATGCATCAAACCCGATATGAATCAGGCGATTCTAATCCAGATCGTCATTTTTTAAAACCCTGATCACTGCTAAAAAAGCAAGTAAAGAGAATATAGTTTAATCAGACTAGAAAGCAGTCTCGTATCCAACTCGTTAACTGTATGCGTAGAGTACATTCATAATAACCCCTAATAAACATGCAAACTAGAACTACGTAGCAAAGGATTTCGATGTTTATGCACTTTCAACATTCTTAAAAGAGAAATAGGAAACGGTAAAACCTAGAGCGGTGCTTCATTTTTCTGAATCAAATGCGTCATTCTCAAGTTTACACAAGGTTTGATAAAAGGTTACTAATTATCAAAGGCTACACAAGCTTTTCAGCTATCCATCTCATATATCTCAGGGTGCACAAAATCCAGATCACGGATGTCATGTCTCTCACTTTAAACATGTATTAAACACACTACTCCAGGACCAGGCCAACCGATTGCTTATCATATATTATGCAAGAAAAATGAGCGAGAGAGAGCGAGAGAGTGAGAGAGAGAGAGAGATGTAAATGTCTATAAAAGCCACCAAACCTTCAATCCGCCCCGGGCACTTCAGCACACTTTGCCTTGTGGAAAACATATTCAGCAGTGAAATGCAAATATAAACAGCAGCGACGGAGAGAATCATGTGTGAAATGAAAATTGAACAAACGAATCATAAAATGCCTCGGATACAATAAGCAAAGCTCTAGGTTGACAACTGAGAGACCCTCCACCAAACCCTAACTCTTATTATCTCTCAAATTTTGTAGTGACAGGTGATGAGCCTAATCAAAACCCCCCCAAATCTCTCCATCTCTCTGTCTCCACACTCATCATAACTTACCGTGAAAAGGATGGGAGCCTCCTGCAAAAGATTTCATATAAAGCAAAGAGACCCCATAGTTCGTTGGTGCTGCATCTCTGTATATTCCTAAACAATCCTAAGCCCTCGCAGCTCATGTCAAATAAAAAGAGCCACGCAGGAGAGAGAAACCCGAATGCTTTCCCTTTCTCTCTCTGAACAAGTGGGCCTAAATTGAGTTAGAAGTCATCACCTTGGAGGCTGCTCTGATTGGGGGGGGGCAGCACTGGGACCGCTAGGGATGCTGGGCCCAGGCCCATTCTCTGCTGGGGGCACAGTGCCCCATTTCCCTTCGGACTCCAATGGCTCGAGAACATGGACCCCACCATCTGTAAGCCCTAGTGCAAACTGGTTGGGCTCTGAGGGGTGAGCAGCAATAACAAGTGGATAAGTATTCGAGCTGCAAACAAGTAACCACATCCATGTAAGATAGTGGGGGAGGGAGAAAGTAACTATCTAATTGTACATTGTAGAATGCAGATCACATGCATGTGTTTGTTCGCATGTGAGATTGTTGAGAGAGAATACAACCATCTCCATGTACATCATAGAGTCCATAATACAAGAACTAATGCAAGTGCTTAGGTGGTCTCCATCCAAATCAGAGATTATGCACCAAAAGGGATCTATCAGCTTGTGTGTTATCTTTTTATCAATAGCATGCAAGGTAGAATTGTGAATTTTATACCTGAGATTGGCAGGCAGATAAGCAGTTGGGTTGATCCGGCATCTTAATCTGAGGGTAGCTGCACTGAATACACCCACACTCCCATCAACAAAGCTTGTGTATATCAACTGGCTATCGCAAGAGTACGTAGCATGTGTGATAGGGGCACTCGATTCCCTTGGCACCCACTGTGAAGATACAAGTTAAAACAATGGATCTTTTCATCATAAAATACAGATCATATGTTTCATCACAAAATACAGTATCATATGGGTGCCCATATACAGTTGTTTGATAATATACATGCAACTGACATCATCTTCTTGCAATCTTATTTGCATGCACATGTCAAGAGACAGACGGGAACAAGCATTGATGTCCCAGAGAACTAATATCAAAAGCATACAAATAGATGGAAACACAAACAACCTTGGCTACATCTCACATTTATTTCCACATGCAAACTACACAAGCATAGGTCTTCATATAAATGCAGGTATGACGTAATTCTCAGAGACAGTATACACATGGCCTACCTGCTTGAGACACTCAAGTTTAGATGCTTCATAAATGGCAATCTGGGTCTCATGTACAGCAAGGAAGTGTATCTGATCTTGATGAAATTGGACACGTGTCTCTGCATGAGAAGCAGGCACTCGCCCTGTTGGAATCTGCAGAAATTTACCGGCCTGCTTCTCCCAACCATCGGTGCTCCACACACACAGCTGCAAAGTAAATGCCAGTTATTAAACATTCCAAGAATTTAATTGTAAATGTGTTATCGTAGCTTCCGTACAAGTCGCAGAGCACAAAATTCTCTCCTGGTTAACCCAAATAAATCCTCATCAAAACTTAAGCATACATTTATCGCTATATCATGCTTCATTTCTTGATAAAATTGACATACCTGAGCATCAGCACCTGAAGAGACAAGCACATTTAAGGCATGGGAAAAGGCAAGACCAGTAATTCTCTTCTGATGGCCTTTGAGCTTGCTTTTGACCTGTGGAGAAATTGCACATGGTACATAAGGTTGAAAAACCGATGTTCTCAGAAAATTATCATGCATTTAGCAATCATCTTACAAAATGTAAGATAGGCAGACTAAAACTGCCCAGTGAGAGAGGGAGATGTATCATATTTATTTGTTCTTGTAAGTGAAAGACGTACCTCATCAATTCGGACATTGTAAATCTGAATCGAAGAATCATCCATCCCGATGGCAATGATGTTATTATCCTGAGGATGGAATGCAAGAAATGTAGCTGCTGGTGGAGGGGCCATGAAGGTCGTCATCGTCTGAATACACCAAGTTGCAATCAAATAAACATCATATCCAAAAGGAACAGATAAATGTCACCATATTTTGTGTGTGTTTGTGTGTGTGAGAGAGAGAGGGACCTTAAATGTCATCATATTGAAGAGAGAGATTTTCCCTCCAGATGCTGACATTACATAAGAGTCATTCTTTGACAGGGCAAAGCAGGGTAGAGCTTCTTCAGGGTTTGTCTCAGCATTCTCATTGGTCATCAATATGCCACTAGATGGTTGCCATAACTGTGGTGCCACACTGGCAGTCGCCTACACAATCAAGTACTTATTTTAACAGACTGTGGAAGTTTTTTTTGGGTAAGTAAGACTGGAAGTTTATGTAATCAAGCACATCATTTAGCAAACTTTATTGAAATTTAAGAGCTTGCACAATTAGATGCTTCGTTTTACCTTCCCCGTTGTGTTACGATCATTACGCTGCCACTTCCAAAGCTTGTGGACGGCATTAGCAGCTAATGCTAATATGGCAACTCCTGAATTAGTATAGATCAACCTAGACACCTGCAGTGAAACAAGCGTCAGAAATGGTAAGCTGTAAGCTTAACAAAAGTAAAGAAAGCCAATAAGATGAAACTCAAACCAAGGTGTACTCTCAGGCCAAATACCAAGTATGAGAAAACTTCAGCAGGAAAAAAAAGCTTGAAAAGATTCAGACTGAAAGAATAATAAAATAAGGATATGTTAAATCCATAGTGTTCGGGAAAAATTACAAATTTTAGTGGAATAGATCTTAAAAAAATTAGAATAATATAACATTTGTGGAAGTTTGACCTAGGCTAGGTTTTATGCCGACCCTCGCCAATAATCTAGAAGAGAAGATTACTGTACAATACACTTGTCTTTTAACCAAGCATCATCCGATAGTTTTGAGCTGTGAATACAATGCACTTATCCATCAGGACCTCAATGTCATGTTGATCGTTTCATGCAAGTCTTTATATTGGTCATTACTAATTTATCATTGAGCCTCAAAATGTTAGCCTTCAATAACTCAGGGCATGACACACCATAGACGAAAAAGTGCTAAAATACAAAAATAGCACAGTGACCGGCCCCATGGACCTGGATGGAAGCAAAAGAATCCTGCAAGAGTTACAATGCTACGATGCAATCTTTTGTGCTACCTATATTAAATGCACACTATTTAACCAAAAAATATATATAGGCTCAGTTGATCACTCAAATCCTTAGATGAGGGCAGAATCCGCCCTTGGACTTATTCATTGCAAGTGCCTAGGATTTCTTGTAGGAGAAGAGGATGACGATAGATCATTCATTTTTTATGTAAAGATGCATAGTTCATTAGGAATTACGAACGAACTGATTTTTAAGAGTAGAAACGCAAGGCAAATGCAGTTCTTGCAATAAAGCTTGCGAACCAGAGGACCATTTTTTGTGAGGAACATAGCTATTGGAATCAGGAGGAAGATCTGGCACGAGATAGAGATCAAGATCCAGTCATAGTGAAAGGATAGAAGATCCCTATGGTTCAGAGAGTTGACCATGCAATGCACTTGTGAGGGATCGAGATCCTTAAATGTTAGGAATCTCGATCCCAACCTTATAGGGATCATGCTCCCAACCTTGAAGAGTATATATATAGCAATGTTCTAGGACTTGGCAGATCAACTTTGGCTATGCCAAGTAACTTGGACTTCGAGCTGAGCAGTAGTTACAAACTCGGTAAATAAAAAAATTAAAAATAAATATATAAAATTACATTTCTTTAGTAAATGAATGTATGAACATGTTCCTATACAATTTTGATGATTTATGAATTTGTTTCATCATTTGCTCTACTTTTATATTTCCCTTTTTTAGAATTTCTTAGTTATTTCCAGCTATTAATAAATTTCTCCAAATTCCATCTTTTATATTTTTCAGTGCTTTGAAATGCGGGATGCTGACCCAATGCTGTAGGGGGGGCCATATGACGATGCGGCGCGATGCTGTCCAGATGCGGACACATCAACCCGATGCAGTCAATAAATAAAATAACATTCCAGAAAATCTCAAAAAATAGGTTAATACATGGAAAACAATGTGGAGGTGATTTATTAACTATAAGGTTCGAAAACAATGTACTAAATACTTAATTTATTAATTAACTCCAATATTATCAGCTAACAAAGACTATAACTTCCTTGATAGAAGAAACTAGAAACTAGAAACTTGAAAGCAACTTTATAGAAGACATCATATTATTATAAACATCCAGAAACCATAATTGCAATTTCCAAGCCAGATCTTTTGTCATTCCTAGTAATACAAGCTAGGTGTTCTTTTCGTCAGAAAATACCCCCAATATATGTATTTCCACAAAGACTACGAATAATACAATTTCAATCTTTTGGATTTATGAGTTTTGCATATTTCCAAGCCCGATCCTTGTTACTCAGATTTGTGAAGATATTGCCCCAAAGAAAAAGTGTTAGGAAATGAAAACTTACCTATTAATCGAAGAAAATTTCAATATCTTCTCGGCCCTTGAAACCCTTGATTTGTAAACCAATCTATGGCCAAACATCTTCAAATCAATGCCCAAGCTAACCCCAAATGACAACCCAACCAATGTGCCCCACACGCCCCCTCCCCGGGGTTGGGGGGGGGGGGGGAGGGGGGAGGATTACCTTAATGCCCACTCTTGTGGGCATTATTTTCGCCCATGAGTCTGGGCAGTGTATGTAGGTGCATAGCACATAGAGCACTATGCACCGGCATATGTGCCGCATATGCAGCCGCAACCCTAAAAAGTGCATATGCTGCCACCTTAGGCATGATGCGGCCGCACTTTAAAAGACTGATATTTTTTTCATTGTTTTTAAACTTTTAATGCTCTTTATGGTTGAGTTTGGTTTTTTACTCATTTTTATTTTTAACAAGTTTTATTCCAATTTGTAGCTTTTTTATTAATGTGCACCACTCGACTCGGCTCCGCCAATAGCCAATTACGAGGCCCATGCCAACTTTCAGAAGACTGATATAGAGTCTTGGACTATAGACACTCTTTAAAGCCAAGATCTCTTTATTCAACAAGCTATATAACTACAATAAAAGTATTGAATTGATAGTTGGTAAAACTAAAGAAAGCCATCAGTGTGTTGTTATATTGGTCATCAAGGTGGGGACTAAGATCCCAAAAAGAGGGGATTGTGATCCAATTAGATCCCTTTAAGATCCCTTTCCCAGAGCTCTAGATTGGGAACGTCACATAGGTTGGGAGATCCCAACAACTATGGTTATCAGTAAGGAAGAACAACAAATAATAAGTACTACATAAGCATAAAGATGCCAAGGTAGATAGTTCCAATCTCCCCTGAATGGGGGGGAGAGATTCCTTGGATCTCACTAAAGAAACCTCCCAAAACCTCTCGGACAATACCATAGTTACCAAAATATCACAACCAAGCACTTCGAAAGCTCACTCATGCAAGCAAAGAAGAAGAATCTTGCTCCTGTGAGATTTTTTAACTCTGAGATCTCATCCCTTCCTATTAGGGATTGATATCCTTAGTTACACTGGATCCAAATTCCTTTGAACCGTATACGCAGGTTCAATGTGGGATCAAGATTACCTTAGTGGTAGACCATATTTTCCCTCTTGCCCTCTTTGATAGGTCACTAGTTTGAACCTTGAGCTAGAAGAGCTCGCCAAAGTATGTGGCATGCATCACTCTGGCCCTAAGTTATATCATCAGCTCCATCAGATGGGATACTTCTGGCCCATGATGGGAAAAGATGCAGTTAAATATGCTAAAAGGTGTCATGCGTGTCAGATACACGCTGATTATATTCATCAGTCACCCGAGCCACTGTTTCTCTCAATGGGGAATGGATATCTTGGGGCCGATCACCCCAATATCAATAGGAAATCATCCTTACATAGTGGCAGCCACTGAATGTTTTTCAAAATGGGCACAAGTTGTACCTCTGTGGACTGGTAAGACGGTGGCTGACTTTGTGTGCCATCATATCGTCTACCGATTCGGGGTTCCAGACAAGATTATATCCGATAATGGATCTCTGATTAAGAATGATCTCATCGCCCGATTGGCCAGTCAAGTGGGAGCCTTTAACAAGAGCCTCTGCAAGGTTTTGAAGAAAACCGTGAAAGAGAGCCAGCAAGATTGGCTTGAAAGACTACAATAAGCTCTTTGGGCATATCGAACAAGTAGGAATAAATAATGCTAAGTAATAGCTATTTTGAAGAATTAGTTGATACTTCTAAGTATCGTGTAATATATTTTTGAAGAATTAGTTGATACTTCTAAGTATCCTATAATATATTAGTTGCATTTTTTGTTCACACATAATTCCCTATGGTGGTAGACTATATTGTCCTTTTTGGGCTCTTTAGCAGGTCACAAGTTATCTAGAGCTTCAACTTAATACTTATCTAATATTTTTTACTCAACAGAAAAGGATGGCCATAAATTACACAATGATTAGATTTCTCAACTTCTATAGAGTTTCAATTTCTTCAAAATTCTTCATCACTTAATTAAAAATATAAACTACAATCAAAGGAGAACAAAAATACTAAAGTATTATAAAATGGTTAGATGTGTTACATTTAAAAAAATGAATTTTGTAAAAATCAAATTACTATATTTATAATACTATATGGACTGTGCTCCTAATACTAGGATACCCTAGTAAATGGCACTAGAAAAAATCAACCTAAGGCTAGTTCACCTCGAGGGTGGTTTCCTTCTAAATAGTAGAGATCATGAATACATTAGTAGGATTAAGATATCTAAAGTAAAAGAAGCTTTCAGAAAGATGAAGATAGGAAAAACTTTAGGACCATATGGTATCCCGATAGAGGTTTGGAAGTGCATGGGGGAGATTGGCAAATGCAGGCTGACGAAGTTGTTCAACAAGGTGTTGAGAACAGAAAAAATGTCAAACGAATGTAGAAAAAGTATTGTGATACCTATTGTATAAACTATCACGAGATCAAACTTATGAACCACACTATGAAGCTGTAGGAGAGAGTGATTGAGCAACATCCAAGGCATGAAACAAGTGTATCAGGAAATCAATTCGGTTTTATGCTAAGGCGGTCAACAACTAAGACCATTTTCCTACTTAGGCAACTGATTGAATAGTTGAAGAAGGAAAAAGATTTCCACATGGTCTTTAATAATATAGAGAAAGTGTATGATACTTAGAGACTTAAATTAGTAGGTGTTGTAAAAAAAAAGGAGTCTCCAGAGCCTATATTGACATGATGAGAGATATGTATAAGGGAGTGCTAAACAAGTATAAGGATAACTCATGGAGAGATAAGTGAGCTTTCAATGACAATAGACGTACATTAGGGGTCAACACTGAGCCCATATCTCCTTTTTTTATTAAGGAAGAATTAACTAGGCACCTACAAGACGAGGTATTGTGGTGTATGTTGTTTGCGGATGACATAGTTTTGATTGACAATACTAGAGACAGCATTAATGCAAAATTAAAACTTTGAAGGGATACTCTAAAATCTAAAGGTT